TTTGTCCTCATGTTGTTTTTAATTAATAGACTCAATATCAAAGAAGGTGAAATCTAATGAGAGTCCTTCAGGTCCACCCAAGACCCAGCCCTGGATACAGCTGAGGGTAGTCAGGGTGCCTCAGCTCCTGTGCTCCCAGTCTCTCCCATCCTTAAAGAAAGTGAGTGGTGTGGGATAGTGCCTGTGGCTCAAGGAGTAGGGCACAGGCCCCATATACCGGAGGAGGTGGGTTCAAACCTGGCCCTGGTTAAAAACTGCAAAAAAAAAGAAAGAAAGAAAGAAAGAAATATAAAGTGAGTGGTGTGGCTCCGTTGTCTGGAAGTGGGGAGGTACAATTTTTTTGTTTTAGATGGAGTCTTTGTTACCCAGGCCGGAGTGCAGAGGCTCACGGCAGCCTCCAACTCAAGTGATCCTCCTACCTCAGCCTCCCATGTAGCTGGGACTACAGGCATGGATGTGATGACATCCAGCTACATTTTTTTATTTTTTGTAGTGATAAGGTCTCACTGTGTTGTCCAGGCTGGTCTTGAACTTCTGGACTCAAGGACCACTGCCTCCCCCACTTTGGCCTCCCTAAGTGCTAGGATTCTAGGTGTGAGCCACAGCACGCAGCCTGGAGGTGGGATCCTCTATGCCTGTGGCTCTTGTAAAACTGACAAAACCAAACACCACCACAAACTGCACACTGCACACACCTGGGGGGGGAGGGACCCTTCCTATCCCATCCTCTGTTCTACAGGGTCTGTGCTTTCCAGGACACACACGTTGCTGCCAGCTTCCCCTCCTTTCTGCTCCATTATTTTCTCTTAGACTCAGAGCAGCTGAATGGGTTTGTCAAGACAAAGAAAAGAGAAAATAGTATTCTCAGCCACTTTAAAAAGCAGCCTGGAACAGCAGGGAGTTAAGGCCTGCAAGGAAACGCCTTAATTAAAACAATGCCCCATACTTAGGAGCCTGGATAGATTTCACAACCTCACTTTCTCCTCAGGGGCTGATTCATTCACTGGACAAACTCTAAGGTCAGTCAGCTCCCCCACAGCTGGTAGGGTTCTGCCCCTCATGCCTACAGCTGAGACCAGGCTCTCGCAGAGCAAAGGGAATGGTGCCAGGAGTGACTAAGGGGCAAGACCATCTCCCTAAAGCCCCGAGTCCGACATCAGCATCTCAGTGGCGTCTAAGGACAAAGTAGCTTTAAGAATTTGGGGGCGGCTGCTAAAAACCCAGCCCGGATACTTTCAGGTCAGGGGCAACAGGGGGGTTATCCGTCACTGTTTGTCAGTGATGGGTGTTCCCGTCCTCGTCATCCCTGACAGGGGGGATCACCTTTCCACGTCAGGGGCCAAAAGCCAAATGCCACCCTACCCTGGAGTCGGGAGGAATTATTTTCTATTCTTATTTTACCCCTAATCTGGGTATTGTGGCACCGCTGCTCACCCCTTCTACCAAACATGCTTGTGTTTGCTTGTTATGCCACTGCTCCGGTCCCACTTCGCTTGTCTGCTCCCAACTGTGTCTCTAACCCGAGTCCTCGGCTCACCTCTGGTGTGTCAGTGCCCTGATTCCGAACCTCTCATACAGATGCCAGGCTACAGAGCTCTGCATCTAACAGCCTTCTTTATGCTCCCGTCTGAAAGTCCCACCCCCACAGCACGGGGCCCACCTGACTCTCCTCATCGGGTGGAAGCTGCCCACAAGGCTGCCTGGCAATCCCACCCTCCAGTATTCTTCATGGATGGTTCTCCCCACCCCCCTCCCTCAGTTCAGGCCTTCATGAGCTGAACTGCCACAATGATGCTACACTAACTGCTGCAAACCCCAGGAGATTTGGGGGAGTTGGAGACAGGTTTGAGGCCAGGCTCTGTTACTGATTAGTCACATGACCTCTTTCCTGGGCCTTCTCTCATGGTGGTCGGGGGGCAGTGGGGATTAAAACACAGTGTACACGAATACCTTGCAAATACACAGGGAGGCTGCACACTGCGGAGTCACTGCAGGACTGTGTTAGCCGATGGCTGGCTTACGGGGGAGGGTAGAGCACCAACATCTATCGAGCCCCAAGTCTGGGCCTTGTCTCGCCTGTTGAAATGTTCACAGATGACCTCCCTCCCCCTCAGGGCTCCATGGTGCTGCTAAGCAGAGGAGGAGGAAGAATCAGAGTCCCTGGAAGAGGCTGAAAGGGAGCCTGGCCACCCAGACCCTCCAACTCGCTCCCATCTATCTTTATGTTCCTCCTGGGTCCACATTGTTCCCAGACTATCTGTTCTCTGAACTACATTATGCAAATCCCAGCTAGCCCAGTATCCATAGAAACCAACATCTCCCATCTTCCTCTGCCTGTTCCCTGGCAGAGGAAACCTACCCAAGTGACACCCACAAACAAGGACACACAATGGCCCACAGCAGGAGAGCTTGCCTCCACCCCGGGCCAGAAGACTTTAGCAGTCATTGAATCCATCTTGCCCGATCCCAGATGGGGGAGGGATGGGTGGTGCAGGCCGGGGTAAGAAGGTGCATTTTCTTTTTGAAATCTTGAAGAGAGATGATATGATCACTGATAAATCATCCTTGTCCAGTCCAAATCGCTCCACTGCTGCTGGACATTAAGATCGTCCTCGCCGTGGACGTGAGTCAGTATGTGCCATCACCCTTAGACTCACACATACAAGCACATCCAGGCACCTCTGGAACATGACAACACCATTTTATTATGCATAATCAATTACCAATTTTATGAATGATTTTTCAAATAACCTTTCTTCTGCCTGAAACCCTATGACTCATTAGTCTTCTTCTTTCTCCAGGCTCGAAACATGAGGCAAAGCTTCCGGGACAAACACCCAAGGTCCTGAACACTGGCTGCAGCACGCCCTGAATTTGCATCCCCACTGTATGCGAGATGTAGGCTTTTGCTAGTGACACAACTTGTGACACTGGGGATGTTAGACTTGGAGGTGACCTGGCAAAAGAAAATGCAAGTTTCCCTATTTAGAGAAGAGAAGTTGTGTCCGTCCTGCAGTTATTGAAACAGCAGAGCCCGGGAAGACACAGTACACTGTCAACTGCTAGGAACGTGCCTGAGCCCGGTTCTAAGAGTTTCATACATTTGCTCGTGTCATCTCATCACCACCCTGTGAGGTAGGAACTCTTAAATGTCTCCATTTTCCCCATGAGACAACTAAGACACAGAGAGTTTAAGTAACTCTCCCAGGGTCACCCAGTGTTTGTGTCAGAGTTGGAACCCAGGTTGTTCAGGGGTCCTCAAACTTTTTAAACAGGGGGCCAGTTCACTGTCCCTCAGACCGTTGGAGGGCCAGGCTACGGGCCCCAGGACAAGTCGGCTGCTAAGCAGGACAGGCAGTGGTGGCAAAAACACCTGGTGGGCTGGATAAATGTCCTAGGCGGGCTGCTTGTGGCCCACGGGCCGTAGTTTGAGGATACCTGCTCTCAGTTATTACAACAAAACCATTCTCTCAAGTTACCAAAATTTCCCACAAATGTTAAGTTTTCTATACACATCCTTGTTAAAAACCTGAAGAATTCTGAGTGTGCCCAACATAAATAACTTATACTTCTCAATTTCTCACGCCTTTCTTTGGGGCGTGTCATTATTGGGAATCAGAATTTCAACATTAGGATCTCCCATTTTCTGAGTAATAGGCCAGCACGTATGAATCCCACAGTAGGTTTGGGACATAATGCTTGGCGTTTTTACCAGAAATTACCCTCGCTCCATGGAGGCTCGGGTTGCTCATCATCACAAAGCCGGTATCTGGACCCAGGAATCAGGTCATTTTCTCCTCAATGAAATGATGACTGGAGCCTGCGAGGACAGCCCCTCTGACCTGCAGGACACGTCTCCAACTAGGTAGTCACTTACTAGAGTCCTAAATATGACACTCCTGGATCTGGGACTAGAGAGGGAAGACAGTACGGTCCCTCCCCCCGTGTCTGTGTGGAGGAGACGTGAGAAGCGTCACCAGCAGGACAGGTGATGCGCAGCAGCAGTCAGGGGAACTGGCTAGACAAGGAGGAGGATGGGGGGCATCAGACGCTGCAGGCTGGGGACAACGGGAATGTGCCCGAGAAGGCCGTGTGTAAACAATGCTGACAACTGTGGCAACATCCATGGGGAGGGCTCCTCCTCAACCTGTGGAGCTGGGAGAATCCCTGCCACGGCCCCATCTTAAACCACAGAGACTGTCAAAGACTCCCACTATTGTGATATTGAACCCACCACCAAATCGCTGAGAGAAATTTCATTTTCCCCCAGCAAGAGGAAGAAAGGAAGGGCCCTTGAGCACGGAATTCTGACCAGCTAATAACTGGTGGGCGATGTATAAGTGAAGGGAAGCAGGAGGCCAGAGAGGGGCCCTGGCGTGCTCCTGCTCCACGGCTCAGCACACGACAGCACACCTTCGGAGGCGGAGTGAAGGAGCAGGTGAAGATGGTGCCCAAGGGGATGTGGCATGAAAGCAGTAGAGCCAATGTGCCCAGAAGCCAGAGTGACGGATGTCAGAATGTTCTGATGACAACAGTCCCCTAGACCCTGGACTGGCTGGAACCGCACGTGTGATAGAAGTCAGGAAACTACAGGAACAAAGACAGAGCTGGGTGGGACAACTGTGACAACAGTGAGAGCTGTCCAGGAGGAATGCACTACGGCAGGGCAGGAGCAGCATCCCTGGGGTGGCAGGTGGATGGTGCATCTGGCTGCAGCACACGGGATTCAGCAGCAGATGGGACTAGAGAATGGGAGCTGCTGGTGAGCTGCCCCTATGCCTGATGTAGTAATGAGAAGGGGTATGAGATGGGCTGAGTGGAAGGTGAGGGCAGGAGGGGGTTTAAGGAACAACGAACGAACCAGGGCTTCCTGCCAACAGAGTGATTGCCCCATCCCTAAGCCAACGCCCAGAAATTAACTAGAATATATGGACTTAAGGGCAGTGTTGAAAGTAAGATTCCTAAGACACATAAACAACAAAAGAAAAATTAAAATTGGATATTGTCAAAATTAAAACCTTTAGTGTCTCAAAAAACAGCATCAATAAACAGCTTACAGAATGACAGAGTTGTTTTATAAATCACATGTTTGATAAAGGGACTAATAACTAGAATATAGAAAGAACTCTTACAACTCTAATAATAAAGAAAACCCATTTAAAAATGAGCAAAGGAACTAAAAACAGTCCTCTTGAGAAGATATACCAATGGCCAATAAGCACAAGAAAAGATGCTTGGTACCATCAGCCATCAGAGAAACGCAAATCAAAACCCCATCCCCGGGGATGCAAATCATCACCCCTAGGATGGCTAAGTTAAAAGGCAGAAGATAACAAGTGTTGACAAGGATGTGGGGCAATCAGAACATTCACACACAGCTCATGGGAATGTAAAATGCTGCAGCCACTGGAAATCAGGTTGGCAACCCTTAAAGAGTTGAACAGAGTTACTATATGATTCAGCAAACCTAGACGTGCACCAGAAAGAACTAAAAACATGTTCACACAAAAACTTGTACATGAATGTTCATAGCAGCAATATTTGTGATAGTTGAAACACAGAAACAACCTGAATGTCCATCAACTACTGAACAGATATATAAAAGGTAACAGTGTATATCACCCATACAATAGAACATTACCCAACAATAGAAGGGAATAAAGGCAGACACCTGCTACAACAGGGAAGAACTTCTGTTTATATAAACACTCAAAGGAAATGTCATAAGGCATAAAGGGTTTAAGCTCAAATATCTTTTTTTTTTTAATAAAGAGGCCTAGGCTATTCTAAAAATTATCCTGTTTTAGAAAAAAAGAACCTTTTCTGACATCTAAGGTAAAAATAAGAAAAAATTTTAAAAGTTTATTATATGCATACCAAGACCCAAGTTAAAGAACAAAAAGTTTACTATTATTGATGAAATAATTTCAGGTCAAGTTTATTATAAAGAAATTCTATTTGATGGGCTGGATACTTTGTAGCAGAGGGTGCCCAAACCTGTGGCTACCAAAGTGTCTGAAGGATCTTCCCCCAGGCTCATGTGCTCCCTCGCCACTCCCAGCCCCGCCCACTTCACATGGTGCCATTTCCTCCCTGGTCCTACTTGTTTTACAACCAATGTGAGGATACATTTATCCCCAATAACAAGTGTGAGCCATAATTTGTTGGATATGTCAGTGTTGTGAACTGGGGGTACAGGCAGGAGGTGGGACCCTGAGACTTTGGCCAGGAACACGCCGCAATTTTAACACTGCTCTAACGGGAAAATATTTCTTTTTACCACAGTGATTCGAAAATTAAACACTCTCTGGAGGCACATGTGAGATAAGCGCAGATACGAGTCTGTAGGCACAGTGGAGGAAGGAGAAATTTGGGATGAAAACCTAAGTAGCAGAGCAAGAAGGAGCAGGCTGGAGAGATGAGAAAGTGGCAAGGCCCCCGGGGCAGCACCTGCCTCTGTCCCCTCTCCCACAGCGTCCAGGGCCACAACCACTGTCTCCCAAGCGCATCCCTTTCCCTCCTTCCTAACTGGAAAGGGCCCTCTCTTCTTTCCTCTGTCAGACTGTGAGAATTAACCATAGTAATTACAGAAGGCTGTCCTTGTCCTCCCAGCTCATGTACCAATGAGAACTCTGAGGCCCAGAGGGGGAACAAGGCTGACATCACTGTTTTAAAATTTTGTTTCTAAGTGCTCCAGAACCCTCTGTTCTCATCCAAGAACTATAAACATAAATCAGAGCTGATCCAACGGGAATGGAAGACCCATCGCAAGGTCTTAAGATACTGACATAAAGTAAAAGACAAGCTGAGCCCCGAGCCCCAAGCCCCGAGCCCCGGCTGCGGCAGCAGCCCCACATTCACTGCGTTTTCTTCCTTACTGTATTCCTGATGCTCCGGCACCTGGAGCTTCCCTGGCCCTGGAGGACCTGCCCCTCCCAGGCTAGCCCGCGAGTAGATAGCAAGCACCTAGGCTGCAGCAGGCCCAGCCAGCCAGAGCCTTCCCCCTCCACCTCTCGTAATCATGATCCAGGCCAGTACCCCCTTGTGGGGATAATGAACCATCCCAGTGCCAGTATCAGTGGGTCCTGAGCCGTCTACCCTGCCCTGCCCACTCCTTCCTGAGAAAACCACGGTACAGCCTCTGGCCCACATGCTCCTCACCCCCACCTTCTGACCAACCTGGTGCTTTCTGGCCTCCCCCCTCCTCCAGAGAACCGTGAGCAATATGGCAGTCCTCTTCAGGTCAGCTGGTCTCAAAATACTGGGACAACAGTAAAACCTACATCTTACAACAGTCCCATTCTGGAAGCAAACAGTATCCCTGGAAATCCTGGAATGAGGATTCAGAAAATTCGTCTCCTGAAGGTGCCAGGACTTCTGGGAAGAGCCCAGCCCAACCAGGGGCCTCCTGGATGGTGCTATAGTGGGCAGAGAAGCCACCAGAGAGGCCAGAGGCTGGAGTCACTGGAAATGACCAGATAGGACAGGACGAAGAACCTGGCAAGAAGGTGGGGAAGAGCAGTGCCCAGGACACTGAGGCCTCAGGAAGGGGCAGAAGAAGAAACAGGTGGTGGCACTAGGGCGGCGCCCGGGGCTCAGCTGTCCAGCTCCTCCTTGATGCTGACGCGCAGAGGGCAGATGCGCAGTGGCTCCAGGGGGCCTTCCCCACGCATGCCGCCCAGGTAGAAGTAGGGCCGCACGGGCCCGAAGCAGGCGTGGAAGGTGTACAGGTGGCACTGGCGCTCGATGTCGTAAAAGGACAGCTCGCCCTCCTCGCACTCCAGCTCTACACGCAGGCGGCGCGGGATGGGCAGGACCAGCGGCGACGAGGTGGGGTCCGAGGTCACGCAGTGGTCCCCCTCCACGCCCTGCGTGCGGCACACGTACCAGAAGCCCGAGCGCGTGTCGTGGTAGCAGCTGTGTGAGTGGCCCTCCGAGTCCTGTCGGACGCGCATCACACCCACCCGCCAGCTTGGCAGCCCCCCCAGCGCCACCTCCCAGGCGTGGGAGCCCTGCGAGAAGACGCGGGAGCCCAGCAGGCAGGGCGCCGAGGAGAAGCGCTCGGGGTTCTCCACCTGCACGCGGTAGCCGTGGTTGGTGACGCTGGAGAGGTCGTCGGACACTGACAGCCAGCCAGCCGCGGTGTTGGGATCCAAGCTGAAGGGCACTGCGAGTAGAAGGGGACGGGGAGATCAGCAAGCCTGACACCCTCCCTTCCACCACACGACCCCAAACCCCGCTGGGTCCGACGGGCCCTGAGTTGAGGGGTGGTGTCAAGGGGCTGGACTGTGTCCTCTCAAAAGATCCATGGCAGTCCTAACCCAGCACCTCAGAATGTGACCTTATTTGGGAATGAGGTCACTGCAGATGTCCCTAATACGATGACTGACACCCTTGTAAACACAGAGGAGACACAGTCGGTCTCCTCTGGGGGAGAAAGCACAGGCTAGCCGGCAAACCCCAGCAGCTAGGAGGAGGCGAAGGCTTCAGAGGGAGGGTGGCCCTCCAACATCTCGATTTTGGACTTCTGGCCTCCACAACTTCCATTTCTGTCTTCTAAAGCCACCTCGTTTGTGGTCTTTTGTTACGGCAGCCACAGAGAACTATTTGGGCAGGGACTCAATGTTCACACGACCCTGTGATGTCTTTGAAAAGCATGAACCACTCCCCTGGGTCATCCCTCCCTGTAAAGCCAGGACACAGTGGCAAGAGTGGGCTGGAGTCCCCTGGGGAGAGGTGGCCCCGGGGCAAGGAGGTCTTTCATCATATATACAACACAGTTCTGAACAGAGAGGGAAGCCAGGTTTCCTCTCTGAAGAGGTGGGAGATTGGGACAGAGCACAGGGTTAAAAGTGCGAGGCACTGGGAACAGAGTAATCTGAACAAAGGCCAACCAGCCCTGCTGGCCTGGAGTACTCAAGCTATCCTCACTAGACACAGCATACTGTCCTGACCCTGAGCCATAGTTAGCAGCAATAAGAAAAAGGCAACACAGAAAGAAGTGCAGTAAACAGAATGTGTTAAGAGTTAGAGATAAACTCCTTGTTAACCTTTACTCTCTCTGAAGCTTTCCTCTGTGCTGTGTTTGCTCCTGCCTGAGATTTCAGTAAAAGGCAGTGAAGAAGGTTGGAGGGGGCCACACCCTCGTCTGTCCTCGGGGATGGCTTTCTGGTGTTGGCCTCCCGGGATCCCTCAGTTCAAGGCAAATGGATTGAGTAGGTGTTAGTATTTTGCATCCAATCACATCAACAGCAGAGTTTCAGGACCCCCAGAGGAAAGTGTTGTGCCAGGAGGGTGGGACTGTCAGGCCAGAGTGAAGAGGACCAGAAGCCCTGGCAGGGGCCAGGGGCCAGGAGATCAGCTGAGCGATGAGGGAGCTCTAAGCAGGTGGACCCGGCAGAGAGGAGTCCACCTGGCTCTTTGCTAGCATGAGGCACTGGCCCCCATGCTGGGAACACCTGCCCGCATCCCACTCACCAGATTCGACAGACGTGACCATCTTTTTCCAGACACGGTACTGCAGGGAGCCCAGATACTTGCAGACGTCGATGAGCATGTCGGGCTGCACAGGCTCTGGCTCCGAGGTACATAAGAGTCTAGGAAGGAGAACTGGGTATTGAGCAGGGCCTGGGCCATGCATCCTCGGCCAAACTGGGTTAACTGGAATCCAGCAACAGGACTTGCTCCCTTGCCTTGAGCCCAAGTTTCCTGGCCACCTTCCCCAAGACAAGACTGAACTGGACTTAGGTGGGACGTGGGCCAGGAGCCAAGTGGGCTGCTATAGCCGTTCAGCGTGCAGTACCAGGCTCACCCTGCCTGGCTGGGAGGAATACAAATAGGAGGTTCTTTGCCACGGCTGCCACCCTTGTGGGCAGAAATCACACACATCTGCCTCAAGGGATGTCTGAGCTGGAAGAGACCCTAAAGGTGCTTTAGTCCACCAGGCTCAAGGTGTCATCCGGCCTTGGCTTGCACACTGCCAGTGAGGAGTGAGCACAGCGAACTCACTGCTGTCCCCAGCTCTCTCTCCCACCTTTGGGCAGCTCCGACTGGGACACAGCTCTTCCTCATTCAGCCCTGTGAACCCAACAACCATCAGCACCAACCAGCACGGCCTGGGGCTCCCGGAGGCAGGAGGCCAACCAAGAAGCGAGCCCGGTATTAGATGACCTGCTGAGAAACATGAGCCACGCTCTCCCTTCCTGCACGGTGGACAGGGACTCCCCACTCTAAAGAGAATGATGTTCCGCCCCAGCACCTCCCACATTGAGAATGCTGTGGAAGACGGCTGCCTCCACCTGGCTCGGCCCCATTCTCTGTGTCACACCCCGCTGCCTGTGTTGCTTGTCTGGCCCTGGGGTCATTGAAGTTTGTACCCTGGTATCCTGCCTGCTCCTCCCCTCCCCTCTACCAGCTTTAGCAACTTACCGGCGTTTTCGGCTCTTGTGTTTCTGGGGAAAAAAAAAAGAAACACAGATGTAGAGAAAATGTATGTTTCTAACCACAAAGGGAGTCATGACGCCATGTTCATAGATCAGAAGACTTAAATATTAAGATGTCAAACTTCCTGCTACCGTTTGAATGTGTCCCCTAGAAGTTCATGTGTTGGAAACCCAATCCCCAGTGCACCAGCGTTGGGAGGTGGGGCTTAATGAGATGAGACTGAGTCACGAGGGTGTGGTCATTAATTATCACTGAGTGAACTAGTTATCATGACCACAGCTGTCAGAAAGGGAGTCCAGGCCCCAGCGCCTCTCTCTGTTGCACAGGCCACCTTCCGCCATGAGATGACACTTGCTCAATGCCAGTGCCATGCTCTCGGGCTTCCTGGCCTCCAGAACATAAGCTGAATAAACTTCTGTTGTATACAAGTCACCCAGCCTATGGTGGTCTGCTACAGCAACAAAAACCAAGTTCCTCTATAGATTCAGTGTAATTTCTATCCCAGCTGGCTTCTTTGCAAAAACTGAAAAACTGATCCCAAAAGTCATACAGAAATTCAAAGGACCCAGAACAGCCACAACACTGTATTATTCAGCCAGAAAAAGGAATGAAATATTGATAGATGCTACAACATGACTAAAGTGCAAAACACTACGCTGAGTCAAAAGGCGTCACCAAAGGCCACATATCATCAAATTCCACCACTTATATGAAAGATCTAAATAGGTAAATCTAGATGGGCAAAAAGTAGGATTGCCAAGGCTTCTCTGGGATGATGAAGTGTTCTCAGATTCATAGTCCTGCCAGTTGCCCAACTGTGTATATGCTAAAAATCATAGGACTGTACATTTTAAATGGGTGAATTGCACAGTATGTGAATTATATCTTAATAAGGATTGTTTTTCTTTTCAAAAAAAAAAAAAGGAGTCACACACCATTCTTGAAAGTACTCTGGGTACTGGGCAAGACAACACTTCCAATTTCCTAAAGAGAACTGGCAAGAAACCTGGTTTTTAGAACCCAGCAAATGATTTCATCATCAGTGGCGTTCTGGAGACAGGAGACATCACAGGTCAAGGAAAGGCTCTGATAAAGCAAAGAACCCATAAAGGTCCAGCCCAGGACACGACACCTGCCTGGACAGAGACAGTCTCTGTCCTTTGTTACTCTGTTCTACAAAGTCTCCCTTTTCCAGAGAGTTCAGCTGCTTTCCTGGCAGCTCAGCAACTCTGCTATCCTGACTGATTTACAAACCAGCTTTCAAGTTATAGGAACTTCTCTGTAAGGACCAATGACTCATGAGGTGAAAACGAAATCAATAAAGGAAGTAAGATGGACTCAGTATTATGAAAGAGAGAATAAAAATCATCTTAAGAAGAAAGAATAATATGCAGGCATCATATTTAAATCCAAAACTTAAATAATTGGATAATTTTAAGAGACTCCATTGTATAAAAGGGTAGAGAGAAGAAACAAGACACAAAAAATGAGGGCAAGAATGAGTGCAAGAGAATGTGGGCCGGGGTCGGGGGGGAAGAAAAAGTTAGAGAGAAATTAGAGGCTCCCAAGGAACTCTGCTCTAATGACAATCTTTTTAGTCTTGACATGAAACACATCACCTATGGGCACCTATAGGCCAGTACCCAAGAGCTCTGGGAAGACTGGGTTGGGCATAGCTGATGAGTACCATCTCCTGGTGGGTCCCTGGCACCTGCTTCCCCTGATCCCCTCCCCTGAATCCAGATGCTGAGCTCCTTACCATGAGAAAAGAAACATCATCTTCCTTCATCTCCATCTGCAGACGCTCAATCTCACGGGCCAAGGCCTCCGTCTCCTCTCTGAGCTGTTTCATTTTCTCCTCAGCCAGAAGCTGCTTCTGCCTGGTCTCGAGGGCCATGGCGTCTAGGATGGCCTGCTCCTCCACTCTCAGGAACTCACGCAGCTTGCCGAACTCCTGCCGGATGCGACTTTCCAGCCAGGCGGCCTCCCCCTACAGCGGGGAGCAGGTGGGAGGCAGAGGTCAGATGCGCAGGGGACCTCAGCCACCACCCAGCCCTGAGACTTCCAGATTCCTGCTAAAGAAATCCTATGTAGAATCCTTACAGATGAAAGCATACACTTCAAATCATAAACACAAAAAACACTTAAAAAGTGAAGACAAAGAAGTATTTCTTATCTTGGAAGGAGAAAAACATTTCTGGGCATAACATGAATCCTTAAGGAAAGAATGAGATAATTAAATACACAGAAAATACAAGGTTTTGTATGGCAAGACTATTAATATAGTTAAATATACAAATGTAATTCTATAACAACTACTGGAAAAATAAGTCAAAAGGTGTGCTCTAGCAATGGCAGGTAAGCAATCTCACCTTGGGATTTAGAGTTCAATACAGAGGCTCCTCGACTCATGATGGGGTTACATTTCAACAAACCCACTGTAAGTTGAAAATGCATTTAATACCCAACCTACCAAGTATCATGATATAGTTTAGCATACCTTAAATGAGTTCAGGATACTTACATCAGCCAACAGTTGAGCCAAATTATCTAACACAAAGTCTATTTTATTTTATTTTTTTAATAGACGGGGTTTTGCTCTGTCTCCCAGTATGGAGTGCAGTGGCATGATCACAGCTCACTGTAGCCTCGAACTCCTGGGCTCAAATGATCCTCCTGCGTAGCTACAGCCACATGCTACCATGCCTGGCTAATTTTTTTCATTTTTTTTTAAAGACAGGATCTTGCTATGTTGCCTAGGCTAGTTGTGAACTCCTGGGCTCAAGTGAGCTTCTCACCTTGGCCTCCCAAGTACCTGGGACTACAGGCACAAATTATCACATGACCATACTCCACCAAATCCTGTTTTGTAATAAAGTGATGACTATCTCATGTAATTTATTGAATACTGTATTGAAAATGAAAGACAAGATAATTCTATGGGCACTTGAAGTGCAGTTTCCACTGAATGCACATCAATGTTGCACCAGTGTAAAGTGAAAAAAAAAAAAATCAAACCATTCAAAGTTATGGGCCACTGGTGTGTTTATGGCTCTGGTAATACATTAACAAAACGATTCACTAACAAAGTGAAAATGACCAGAAAAAATGAAATGATTTGACTAAAAAAGAAATGACAAACTAGAGAAAGTATTATTATTCTTAACGTACAAAGTACTTTTACAAATCAACTAGGAGAAAAGACAAATATTCCAAGGGGGGAAAAAGAACGTGAACTGGCATTCGTAGAAGACACGCAAATAGCTATTACAGTAGTAAAAAGATGTACAAACTTACCAATAACCAAAGACACGAAATGGGAACAGATAAAAGACTGACAGTGGCATGTTAGAGAAAGTGGAAACCCTGATAAGAAAAATCACCAGTGCAAAGTCAGCTGTCATCCTCACAACTATACCTGACAGCCTCGCCATAAAGGGGTGACACCAAAACTTCCACTTCTCTCATCGACTGGATCAATGGAACTTCACAGAAAAAGCACTGATCAGAAGAAAGAATTCTAGAGGCTTCACACTTGATCATGCTGCCCTTAGCTCAGGAGTCTACGCTGCCCGGGATGGGCAAGTGTTGTTGCTTCCTGGCCAGAAGGACACTCCCAACGACTGCCCCATACGAGGTGAGCCAGTCAGAAATCGAGCAAAAGTGATAAACACAACTCCTGAACAAAACAACTCAAAAGGTGTCCTCCAGCAACGGCAGGTTAGCCATCTCATTTTGGAGTTGGAATTTCAGTGTATGTCCACGGCTCTGACATATGATAACAAGATAATTCACCACAACAGCGAAGACTCTCCGATCAGCGTGTTAGTCTGTAAGACTGCAGAAAAGCTGAACGACTTCTGTCTGTTGGGTACTTTATAAGCATTATTTTATCTGAATGTTTTTAAAAATAATCTTAAGAAGAAAGAATTGTTCTCTCTTTACAGAGGAGGAGATTAGTTTGGAGGAGGTTGAGAGATTTGCCTGGGGAACTTGGCTTGGATTTGAAAATAGGGCTGCATTGAGGTCCCTGTCCTGGACGGTATTTCACACAATCCTGTCTTCTGCCCTGTGGCTCATGGTAAACTCCCAAGTAAAGCTTTTTGGGGGAGTGACCAGCAGCCCACCAGGCATGTCTTAGCTGCTGGAGCCAAGCTGAGTCCCACTGAGCAGTAGTCACCAGGAGCCACATCAGATAGTGACAAATCAGAGCCAGGATCAACAGTCAGAAAATAGGTCCCCACGGGACCCAGATGAAGACAGAGTACTGAGGCAGAAAAGTGGAGACAGGAGAGCCAATTCACCCCATTCCATTAATAAACACTTAATCCTCACTTACCCACTTCATTCATTCAATCAACAAACGTTAACTTTCATCTATTGTATGCTAAGAACTGTTCTAATAATTGTCAACAGTATGTTCTGCTTTCATTATATTCTGATGGGAGGAGATAATTTAAACAACAAATAGAAAACAAAAAGGTAATTACAGGTAATGAGGTGTCTCAGAAAAAAATAAATCAGGGAGGTAGTGAAAGAGGAGGGCTACTCTGAGCAGGTGACAAAGGCTTCCTGTGGCTCAGAGGGCCCACTCTGGTCAGCAGTTAGCTACTAGGTGACGTTAGCTAAAGCCAGGCCAGCCCACCTTCACCCATCCCCCGCCTGCCCTAGTATCCCCTAGTGCCCGTTCAGCACACATGGTCACTCACCTGATTGTGCTTGGCGACAGCCTCATAGGAACGCCGCATGGCCCAAAAGGCCTTGGCCTTTTCCCGCAGCGTATGCTCCATGTTCCTGCACTTGGCCTGGAGGGTGAGAAAAGGACATGGGGAGATAGGTCAGGCTGGAGGCCAGGCAGGGAGAACAGACACACCACGCCGGCACGGGAATGCCACTTCCACTGAGTGTGACACAGCTGTGTTTACCGACCCAGACAGTACCAAGCGCTGCAGGCAAAGCTGAGCAAGCAGGCTCCTGACCTCAAATCATAACTTTACAGCATAAAGGGTGCTCAGAGAGGGAGACAGGGCTGAGAAGGGACCTGTCTCCTCCTGTGCTGCTCACAGTACAACATAAAGGGGAGGCCTGCTTGAGCCCAAAGCTGGGGCCTGAACCCCTGGGCTGTGTGGCTAACAGTAAAAGCAATGTGGTCACAGTTCCCCTTGCAAGTTTCCAAACTGGAGGGGTCTGCCGTCACTAATGTGTGGGTCTGATAGTTGGGGCTAACTTGGTCACTCCCCTAGGGCTCAATTACTTCTCACCTAAATATGTCCCCCACCCCTCCTTAATCTGACGTTCTAATTCTGTTTGTATCAGTAAAATACTTTATGCAGCAGGTTCAAATAGTTTTTGCTTAGTTCGTTTTGTTTTTAAAAGTTTAATCGTTGCTTCTGATCTCCTTGGACTCCTTAAAGAATGACCTTGACTTTTTGGCTGGCTTCCCACTGTTTGTCCAAGACTGATCATTTTCTCTCTACTGTTTCTACGCTGAGGAAACTTCTCAAGTTTTTTCTTAGGAAAACTAATAACAATTCTAATCATATTAATTATAAATTAACTATCTCTTACTGTGCCAGGGACTATGCTAATTACTTGACAAAGTATATCATTTATTCATTATCCTTACTAGGTAAGTAACATTATCTGCCTCGTTGTATGGATGAGAAAGTGAAGTTCAATGGGAAAATGACCAGCCAGCAGTGTGCAGCCGGTACCCAGAGCATGAACAGCTGTGCAGGCAGCCACTATGCTGGCCACAGTGACCCCATCCTCCTGTGCAATAAGAGTTTAAGCTGCTTGATGTTGGGGTGATTTGTTATGTAGTAAAAAGTAATATAGATTGTCCCCCAAAAACCTCTTCCCCACCCATACCTGATTTAGATCATCAGAGTCTGAATTTTGGATGAGGTATTTGGGGAGTTTGGAGAGGGTGAGGGTGAGAGGGATGTGATACATTAGGAGCCAGAGGGCAGATGAGGGGCAGCCTCAGAAATGGCCCCAGGGATCCCCACCTCCTGGTACTGAGGCTTTTATAAAATCCCCTCCCCTGTGAGCTAGACCTGGTGACATGTTTCTAAATAATAGAATTTGGCAAAAATAAAGGTAAGTCACCTCTGAGATTAAGTGGCAATGCCAGTGCATTCCCAGCCTGGGTCTCTTGCTTACTCATATAGATGGCAGCTGCCATGTGGCAGTCTACCCCTTAGAGTGGCCCAGGAACTAACAGTGGTCTCCAACCTACAGTGGTGAGGGACTGAGGCTCTCAGACCAACAGCCCAGTAGGACCTGCATCCAGCCAACACCCCCAACTGAGCCTGAAGTCGGACCCTGCCCCAGGCAAGCCATCAGATGAGACCACAGCCCTGGCCATCACGTCCACCGCAGCCTTGTGACCCACAGAAACTGTGAGGTAAAAAGTGTCCGTTGTTTGAAGGTGCTAAGTTTTGGGGAAATGTGCTGTAAGAAACAGAGAATAGCCCATCAGTCCTGCTCGGCAGCCTAGCCTTTTAACTCTTATGGTACAAAAACCAAAATAGTTGCTGATTTCATTTTCTGTCCGTTCTATTTTCTACTTATTCTGATCATTTTTGTGTTAACAGCAGGCGATCATAAGCAAGTTCCCTAACTTCTCTGTACCTCAGTTCCCTCCTCTGGATAACACTACTGAGCTCAAAGGACTGCTGTGAGGACTCCACAAGTCAATCCACATGAAATGACGGCAAGAGAGCAGCAGACACGTGCCAGGCATCCAGTGAGTGCTGGCTCCTATTACTGACTGAGCCCTGCTCACATGCCTGGTAATTTAACTCTCCTACTGGTATGTGCCAGCTTTCTGTGGCAACTCTACCTCATCCAACTCCAAGTCAGTCTCCTGGATCTTTCCTTTCCTTTTACATTTACACTGCACCTGCCCAGCATGGACTGCTGAGGCCACACCACTCAGGAGCCTCGGTCAGCAGCGTTTAAAGATTCCTGCCCTGCCACTGGGCATATGCTAGACCAGGAGACAATGACCATCCTCTGGTGCAGCCGAGGAGCTAGCAAGGCTGGCCTAAAAAGTGAGATCCGAGAAGGGGGTGAGTAGTTAGGAAAGGGAGGGAAAGTATTAGAAGGGGGGCAGACTTGGAATGTGGCTTGAGAGACACCCGGAATACGCTGGGGTTAGATTCAGCCAGACTGATTCTAAGAAGGTAAGGGGGTGGGGTAAAGTTCTGGGGCAGGAAGAGGCTGGTGGCAAAGAATGATTCAGGTCAGTCCCATGGGATGGGTAAGAAAAGAGACTAGCCAGGCAGGCACAGTAACTTACACCTGTAAACCAGCACTTTGGGAAGCCAAAGCAGCAGGATCACTTGAGTCCAGGAGTTTGAGACCAGCCTGGGCAACAAAGCAAGACCCTGTCTCTCTTAAAAAAAGAAAAAAAAAATTAGCCAAGCATGGTACATGCACCTGTAGTCCAGCTACTCGGGAGCCTGAGGAAGGAGGACTGCTTGAACCCAGGAGTTAAGAGGCTCTAAGTGTACACTGCCCTCCAGCCTGGGGGACAGAGCAAGACCCTAAGGAAAGGAAAGAAATAACTGGACAGAGCAGCTCACAGGCCTGCAACTCCATGGGACTTAGGACAAGTCTGCTGTTGAAGTCAAGCCACAGAGAACTTTGACCAAAAGTCTAAAACCTGAGTTCTAATCCTAGGATGTCACATGTTAATTCCATCACCATGATGAGTTTCTGCTTTCTCATTAGTAAAATGTAACCACCTCCTCATAGTCTCTTGTGGGTCTGTGTCTGCGTCTCTTGAGGATGTTTTCATTTCATGATAACCCAGAACAATACTAAGATGAGCCTATTCTGAGTCAGCTCATAAACAGAGAGCTGACACACACTTTTGGCTCCTACGACTTCAGCACCAGCATTTGTATTTTGTAACAACTTACGCGCTATCAGACTATTACAGCATTCATTGCCTTGGCCTAGTAAGAAAAATACACTTAGTAAGTGCAGAATGTGCTGGAGCCAAATGAAGGCCAATCCTGTCACGTGAAAGTTTCAGAGTTCTTAAAACAGGGACATTTTGGCCAATCAGGTAATCATTTGGAACAGAGTAAAGGGGGAATCAAGAGTATTATTTCCAAGAGGAGAGATTTTGTTTCAGCAAAATGAAACCCTATAATTATTTTATTATTGATTTTATTATTGACTTTAAGTTTTATTTGTATTTTATCTATCAGCTTCCTTTGGTTTTTTTGCTTAAATGTTGTATAAGCAAATGAATTTACACCAATTTCATGTTTGCGTGCAGGCAAGTAACTTGATAAAGTAAGTCACACTGTTGGATTATTTTCTTCCTTTAAGAAGAACGTGGAGTTGTTCAAGTTTGAGAAACGTTGCCCTCTAGGATTTCCAAAGGTCCCTCCAAGCACTCATCTGTTCTAGAGTTCTAATTTAAACACTAAGCCATGCTCCAAACATCATCAGTCATTCCCACCACCTGCACTGCACTTAGGACAAAAATCCCAGCTCCCTAAGGAGCACCCCCTCCCTGTCGGGTCTATCCTGGACCCCTCATTCCTCATTTGAAACATCTCCCCATCACTGCAGGCCACATCCTGCACCCCCTCACTGCTGGCTGCCCTCTTAGCTCCTCTCTGTGAAGTCACTTCCTTAGAGACGCCTTCTCATGCCCCACCTGACAAGAAGAGGCCCCTCTTACAATCTCCCACCCCATCCTGCACTGTCCTTCACAGGAATGTCAGGCTGCATCGATGTAATTTTTAGTGAGATGATTCAATAATGCCCACCTGACTCCATGGAGGCTGGATCTATGTTAAACTGTTCTGTCCCGTACTAGACACACTATGCCTGGCACATAGTAGGCACTCAGTCACCACTTTCTTCAGCCAACTCACAGTGGGTCAATAGCCACTCACATCTCTAAAGCCCACACATACAGCTGGCTGTCCCCAGGGTTCTGGGATGAGGGAAACCCCCCTCAAAGTCCAGAACCAGAGTGAGCACTGAACATGGCCTCAGGTGAACTCTCTACTTGCTCTGTGACTTTGGACAAATTATTTAACCTGAGACTCAAGTCATTGTCTACCTATAACAAACTGAATAATGCTCCCCCCACCCCCAACCTGATGTGCACTTTCTGAACCCTGGAACTGGTGGACGTGTTACTTTACACGACAGATGGACTTTGCAGATGATTAAATTGATATAGGGAGATTATCCTGGATTAGACAGTTGGGCCCAATGTAATTACTAGAATCCCCGTAAGAGGGAAGTAGAATTAGTTACAGAAAGCAATGGGACAGAAGATGCGGACACAATGATGTACTGTGGGGGTGGAGGGAGGGACTCCAGAAGTGAGAGAGGGCCAGGAAATAAATTCTCCCCTAGAGCCTCCAAAAGGAATGAAGCCTTCCTGACACCTTGATCTAGGACTTCCAACCTCCATAACTACAGGATAGTAAGTCCATGCTGTTTTAAGCCATTATGTTTGTGACCATTTAGTACGGCAGTAATAGGAAACTCGTACACGAACCCATGGTGTTTTTGTGAGCATTAAATTGTTGAACACTCAATGCACCCAGCACACAAAACATGGTAGCCGGCATGATTATTACTTTTGCTGAGTTCCACGCATAATTGCCAAAGTTATATTTTTCTAAACCATGAATCTCATCACAAAATCCCTTATTTAGAACCTTTGAGGGCTCCCACAGCACACAGTGGAAAAGCCCCTGGGCGGGTCACACAGTCTCTGACCTGCCCCTTCTTCCCTCAGGCTCCTCTAATCACACAGAACCCCACCTTGTCTCCTCCCTGGCTTTCCTACTGCTTTACAGTCCCGTTGAACTTCCTCAAAATGTATATGGAAACTGTAGTCAACTTTTGATATCCTATAGCAAAGGCACTGCAAAAAAAAAAAAAAAAAAAAGGAGAGGGCAACTAGAGGACCTTGCAGACACTGGGATTCATCAAGGATTCTCATAGGGCCTCCTTTTCAGTATATCCAGCTTCCTCCAAGCAGACAGCTGTTGTCCAAACTGTGGGTGTTGACTCACTATTAGTAGGTGATAAAGCAAATTTAGTTTTTAGTCACACTGTTTTTAACTGTAACTGTTACAAAGTGAAGTAACAGAAAATGCCAGGGTACAAGGACACATTGTCACAAAACTTTTCTTTCAACTGATACATATACTCTAGGGTATTCTGGGTCACAGTGGGAAATGAATTTATTCCTACAGTCTACAAACATTTTGAAAAATGCTGAGCCTGGCTAACCCGTATTTTCTGATCATTTTTCCTTCCTATACTGAAGAATTCATGTTAAAGTTTGCCCTGTAAGTTGGTCCCTGATTTATGTATAGCCACTGGAACCCAAGGAATCAGGATCCTGAGTGATAAGCCAGAATAAGTCACCTTATTCTGGGCAGGGAATAGAAGTGACTGATTCAGGGAAAATCTTAAGGCCCCACGTGCCTGGCCAGGTCTTGAGCTGCTAGTCTACTTGTAAGCTGAGTGTGCCAAGCTCGAGAGTTCGTGACCATTGCTCACATCAGGGCTGCTTAAAGGGGGTCTGGGCCACACCCTGGTGGCAGAAGGGGTGCACGCCCGGATCCCTCCAAAATGCATGGCGCTGTCCTGAGAACACTAAAGAACCCCAGCTCTCACTTTCTGTTTACACTCTCTTCTCCCATCTCGGGCGCTGTGCGTAGACAGCCCCTCCACGTAACCAGGGCTGGGCTGGGCAGGGAGGAGGCTCCGCGTGCGCCCGGCCACCTCGCGCGCTCGGCAGCGCTTACCCGAAAGTCGAGGGCAGTGTCCTTCACTGGCTGCACGCGGTGGCCCTGGTGCCGCGGGTCGGCCTGGCACGAACAACACAACAGCTCCTTGTCTTCGAGGCAGAAGAGGCTCAACTGGCCACGGTGCGGGCGACAGAGGCGCTGGGAGTGGCGCCCCGTCCAGGGAGCGCCCTCGGCCTCCTCGTGCAGCAGTTTCTCCACCAGATTGTTGAGGGTGTGGTTGGTGCGCAGGTCGGAGGGCGACGCACGGTCCTTGCACACCGGGCAGGCGGGTACCACCTGCACCTCCCAGCAGCGGCTCACGCACTCGCGGCAGAAGTTGTGGCCGCAGCGCAGAGTCACCGCGTCGCGGAAGGGGTCGTAGCACACGGCACACAGCAGCTCTTCCTTGAAAGATCGGGAAGGCCCAGGAGACACATCCGGGATCGGCTCCATGGTACGGACCTCTGACTCCAGCGCGGAAAGGATTCCCTGCTTCCCCCCCCATCCGCCAAGAGTGGCGCGCGCGGAGCCAGCCGGAAGATAGCGCCCAGCCGCTCCCTCTTGAAGCGCTGAGCGACGGCGGCGCTGACCAATCGCGTGCGGCGTACTCGGGAGGCACCGCCTCATTTCCGGTCTGCCCGGGAAATCCCGGAAGAGCGGGGCGGGCCTCTAGCTGCGGGTCTCAGCGACCGAGGTGCGCAGGACCTCCCCGCAGCGCTGTGGGACCTCCGTGTCACCGGACGCCTACTTCCGACTTGAGATGGGAAGTGAAGCCTAACAGCTCCTTCCTTAACCAATCCTGGGAGTCTCAGGAGTGCGAAGTGGAAGAAACCAGGGATCGCGACTTCCTGGCCCTATAGTAGCGAGTGCGTCTTAAAGCGCCGTCGTGTTCTCTCCACTAAGTCATGCTGTGTCTTTCCAAAGACTTGTCGCCACTTTTGTGTCAGCCGTTTACTTTTTTGGCCTGTCTTATTCCGGACCCCCGCGGTAAAAAGGAAGCAGATGAGGGAAGAGGACTTCTGAGAAGACCCGATTCTTATCTTATGGTTGAATAAACGGACAGTCCACCGTCTTTCACAATCTGTAAAACGCCCGCTTTGCGCGCTCGCTCTCGTTCTCTCTGCATGAAATGTGAAGATAACCCTGGAACATGAAATAAATATGGAGCATGACCGTGGCATTAGGCAAGTCCCCACTGAAACAGAGATTAAGGACTTCTGCAAAGTTTAGCTGGGGGAACTACAATATACGCTGAATTCTTGCCTGCATAGCAGTCCCGGGATCCTCCGATTGTATTTTCCTGCCTCAGCTTGATCACTTTACAGCCTTCAGATGTAGAATACTTTCACATGACATGCTTCCATTCCTGTTCTCTTGGGAGACAGTTCACATGTTTCATGTTCCAACATGTTTTGAAAGCAGAGGCCCTGACTTCCAGCTGTCTTTTCAAGAATGTTTCTGTGGTGAACAGCTTTGGAGAGCAAAAATAATGCCTCCCTCCAAGCAAAGGTGTAGTTGACTTACTCCCTATTTTAAAAGATTTAGATTTCCTAAACGCCGAGTTCTTCTCCTATAATGCAACCTGTTGTAGCCGTCATCACACAGTCTTGTGGGAAATGGAGCTCAGGAGACTGTCCTGATGACAATACTCTGACTACTATTAACTGCTATTGGTAATAAGGTGTCCTTTGTCCCTGACCAAGAGTCTCATACCCACTTTTATGAACATTAACGAAACTGTGGCATGCTAACTTCATCTGTTAGTTTGCCTTAACGTAAAGTCTCTGACCCTTTGAAGTTCTTGACAATTTCCTTCTAAAGTTGTCCCTAGTATAGTTATTTTCCTCACAAAACCTAGGGGAGAGACACCACTAATTCTTATATTGCCTGCAGAGTACCTTATATGTGGTCTGTGTTCCTCCTGCAGTTACCAAGGGAGCTTCCTAAAAGCACAGCTTCCTGAGCCCACTTCAATCTACTCACCTCTGTTGCAGAAGAGGTCCAGAAGTCTGCATTTTCTCATAACTATTGGCCCACTAAAATTTGAGAGCCAGTGTTGTGGATTACTTGCCCAACAAGCTGTCAGGTCTCCAGGTATGGTTACAGGCCACAAGATGGGGCTAATAACCCTACACTCCAGGCACCTCCCTGGAGAATTGTCTCATTTTTTTTTTTTTTTTTTCACTGTTCTCTTACGCAGGCATTCCCAGTTGCTCTGTGATTCTGTCTATATTCCTTTCTGCATGTTTTATCCTATTCGTACCAGATTTTCCTTATTTGTTTTGTGGATTGTGTTTTTCTCATACTCCAAATGAGGCCACAAATCAAAATAAGAACAAAGAGTAGAAATTCAGATCAAAAACTGTTGATGGGACAAGGAGAAAGGATGCTCAACAGGTCAGCTGCAGGGCTGGCAGTATACTTGTGACAAAGGGAACCAGAAATGCAGACCTAATAGATCTTGTTCATCAGAGGATTTTCACCAAGGAAATCTTTGAGGAAATCATTGTAGTCTGACATTTGGTGTGGAACACAATGATGGTTTGGACCCTCTCAGAGGCCTAAAGCCCGGGAGAATGAGTGGCTCTTAGTTGGCCCAAATAATGCTGGAAAACTTCCTTAAGAAATGCTACTTAGGCAGCACCCGTAGCTCTGTGGGTAGGATGCTGGCCACATACACCGGGACTGGTGGGTTCGAACCCAGTCTGGCCCAGCTAAAATAACAATGACAACTGCAACAACAACAAAAAATATAGCTGGGCATTGTGGCAGGCACCTGTAGTCCCAGCTACTTGGGAGGCTGAGGCAAGAGAGTCGCTTAAGCCCAAGAGTTTGAAGTTGCTGTGAGCTGTGATGCCACAGCACTCTACCTAGGACAACATAGTGAGACTCTGTCTCAAAAAAAAAAAAAAAGTTCTACTTAATGCAAGTGAATAGGGAAATGCTGAGAGTAGTAAACTGCCTGCCTCTGAGTCAGATTTGTCTGTGGACATCTTTTTTCTATGATCCATAAAATAAAATCCACATTTGTTTCTCTGTATCATTTAAGCCATAAATACAAAATGCATTAAGCAAGACAGGGGTTGATTATCTCACATAATAGAAACTTTGGAGGCAAAAAGGCTCCAAGGTTATGTCAGCAGGCTTCAGCTTTTTTCCAGCTCTGTGCCTATGGCTTTCTTTTGGTTGGAAAAGCGTCTTATCCTGATATGAACCTATTTTCCAGAGCCATTTCTCCCCTGTATGTCTCATTTTGAAAGCTGAGAAACCTTTCCAAAGACCTTCTGGAAGACTTCCCCTCACACTTCATTGGCCAGAACTGGGTCACATGCTCTAAGTTCATCAGTGGTGAGGGAAATGAAAGACAACCCTAATTGACTTGAACCAGTCAGGACTTACCTGAGTCACATGATGGAAAGATGGTTACTGACATGAATTTGGGGCTTTGCTATTTATGATGAAAGAGGGGGAAATTGCCATTAGGAAGGCAACTGTTTGGACAACACGTGTATTAATTCTTCAAATCCATGAACATGGGACATCTTTGCATCTACTTCTGTCTTATGTGATTTTTTTTTTCAGCAGTGTTTTAGAGTATTCAGTGTCCACGTCTTTCACTTCCTTTGGTGTTTATTCCTTAAGTATTTTGTTCTTTTGGATGCTGTTGTAAGTGGAGTTGTTTTCCTTTGCACATAATTCACTGTCTGCTTTTTTAAAAAGGAAGTTCTGGCTACACTAAGCTTACTTTCCTGCACGGCAATAGACTTCTGAGCTGAATAGCAGCTGCTCGCTGTAGGAGGGACATTTGTTCTCTAGTTTGCCAGCAGTTTCTAGCCAAGCTTCCCTCACATTTCCTGCTTGGCCCCCATAGGCATTTGGGCTTTAACCCCTTGTTTAGATCGACCACAGTGGAAGTTCCATGGGGCTGCTATTCACTACAGAGGCAAAGGTGCTACAGTGGTACAGACAGGCAGCTTAGCAACTGAGCACAACATAGTCAGCGCTGCTCTTCCAAGTTCCTGGAATGTATTTTTAAGTACCCAATTACGTTACTGCAAACGTTTTGTAGAGGGATATTTCTGAAATACAGCGTGTGCTTTTTTCCTCTCTAAAATAAAGGAATTCTTCGTGATTTACCAAAATTGACAATATCGACTGTGTCCTGGGACGGGTGATAAAGTGAGACCCTCAGGAGTGAATGAAGGAGGCAGGGTTGGTTGTCTCCATCCCATTAATGGCCGCGGGTTTGTGTGTTGGGAGGGCTCTTGGACTTCCTAGGCATTTTTTTGTTTGTTTTTCTTTCCTTTCTAAAAGTTCTTCTTTCTACTAACAGTGCATCTCCCTGAAACAGCCTAGCTTCCACTTTCTAGTCAGTGCTTCCAGGACTGGAAGCAGATAGCCACATTTGTTAGGATTGTCAAAGACAATACTGGCAAGGTGACGTTTGTGCAGTCACTCCGTTGCTTCAGAGCTTTCCCTTGGGATGTAGGGGACCAGACGAGCTCCTTCACAGGTGGAGGTGAGGGATTCAGAACCAGGAAGTTATGATGCTAACTTGGAGTGGGCAGGGCAAAAGGGCAGGCCCCTAAAGGACATCCTGCAGCCACTGTGGGAGGTACGGAAGCCCCGAGGTACCCAAAAGCTGTGGGAATGACATGGTTTCTGGGGCACGGAGGCTCTCTCTCTGCTTGTTGCTTTTTAATAGAAAAATGAAAAACACCCTTATGCCTTTTTTCCATCCCGCATTCTCTCAGAGACCCAGATCAGTTTCTCAAAGGCTTAATTATGCCTTTATTTTTCCTATTCACATTAGATTATTCGCAGAAGTCTCTCCTTCTCTTCTCTTTTCTCTCCTCTCCTCTCCTCCCCTCCCCTCCCCTCCCTTCTCTCCCTGCCCCTCCTCTCTCCCTCTCTCTCTCTCATTTTGTTCATTTATTTTAACTTTTTCATTATGAACATTTCCCAATATACTCTGTATTTTAGAAAGAACAGTCTAATTAACCACCATGGACCCATCACTCAGCTTACATTATTATCAGCTTTGCTATTTTTGTTTCTTCTCCTCCTCACATTTTTTGTGGATGAGAGAGGTGGAATATTTTAAAGCAACCATTATTTTTTTTTCCAGGAACCCGTTTTTTAAATTTATAACAGGCCATGATACCTGTTAATAGTCAGCCATGAGGCATAGCAACTAGCAAGGGAATGTGCATGGATTATTTGCCTCCAGTCCTTCCAACACCTCTGTAAGATAGATTAAGCCCATTATATAGATGAGGAAGTTGAGGGTCTGCCTTAATTAGTACCTAACAAAGGCTAACTGATGGCATACTGGTTAGGATGCTCTGAAGAAAATAAAAGATTTTTTTTTCCTGTCTCACACACCACTCAACAGTCACTTCTGACGCTGGGTGTTCTCCTGTGGACACCCTCTGGGTCCTCAAATTCAGTTCAATTCTGACACTATCAATCTGAAGCTAGCGTCCAATCCCACAGCCTAAGGG